ATTAGACCGCGAAGAAGGTACGAGTATGACGGATACAAGGCCGAGGCGGGGCCTTTACAATGGAATAGGCATCGAATGAATTTGTGTTTTGTCATTGAATGGCGACGAGAGAGAGGAAAGGGATCCGTGGAAAAGCTATGATAAATTTCTGGGAAGGTCGGGAGGAGGATTGCATAACGTCAACCCCCTTCTCCCCTCGTCCTCGGCTCGGTCGAGTTTCAACCCTCAACCCACCGTTTCACGGTTTTCCCTTCTCTCGGTATATCCAGCTTCTCCTCCAAACGGTAACAAACATTCGCGCCGATAGCTAATTAAAAGCTCTCTCGCATAAAACCGCTCCTCTTCTTGGCTACCCTTTCCCCCTCCCTTCGTGTTTCTTTTTTCCTTTCCATCTCCCTTTCACGTCTATCGTGTAACGAAAGAATTTTAATTAAAAAAGACACCGACATCTATTCTCCGTGAAGGTATTCGCGATGTCGTTTAATTCACTAGACAAGGTCAGGTCTCTCTTCACTCTCTGTTCCAAGCCTGGCGAGAGAAAGAGAGAGAGAGAGAGAGAGGAGGGGGAGAGATAGAGATATAGAGAGTTTTCTGTCTCTCTTTTTCCAAGCTAACGCGACACCGGAGGCGAAAAAAAAGGGATCATCCTCTGGGAATCGATTGTCCCCGCTTTTTTTCACCGGTACTCGCACCAACTTGAACACGTTGAACATTGACCCAGGACATTGACTGTCTGAATCCTCATCTTTCGAATCTTTTTTTCTTTGATAATACGATCGCATAATAAATTACGATTCGTCGATATCGGTACGGCAATTCTTTCTTGCGTTAAAATCAAAATTAAATTCAAAGCTTAATTTGTAAACGTATTCGAGCAAGCGCGCAGAGGGGTTAAACGATCGATGGGCCCTTCACTTTCTTTCGTTATCATTCTTTCTTCTACTTCATCCTTTTGTGTATTGTAACATCGATACACGAGCATCGATATTCGCGTTTTCAAAAGATAGAAAACACGACACTTGCCAAACCAATCTTCCATTCCTTTCTTTTCTTCTTACACTTTTCTTTTATCCCTCCCCCATTGAAGATCTTAGAAGAAAATTTATCGACGACGAGATTTCTTTTTGTTCCGTCCCGATCTTCTCGTTTCTGTTTACCCTCTTTCTTTTCTTAGATCCCGCACAACGTGCACTTAACCACCCACACACGGTGGATACATATACCTGGACATGTGTGCACTCTGAAGCACGGATGCATGTATCGTCTCCACTTCACTCCATGTGTTTATCTATACACGTAGCTACATATATTCTAACACGGGCTCGAGAGAACTGTGGTGCAGTGATTCCCAACCATACGTGCCCACATCTTCGTTCTGTGCCAAGAATTCAAACCCGTTAATTCATCCGTGAATCCTTCATACGTTTTGTCACGTTTCCCTTTTCTCAAATCTTTCGCCCCACCTTCGACTCACAATTATCGTTTTAAACTTTGAATCTTATACGACGTATATTACTTCTTCTCACTTCTCAAATTCTCTTTTTCCAGAAACGCTTTAATCATTTCCACGCACATTTGTCACCGGTTATTCAAATCGACAATTTCTCTCCAAATATAATGCAAACTCGTAGCAAATATTTAATTATAAAAACTTTCATATCGAATGCACGCATCGAGTAAAGTTTACGGAAACATTAAAATATCCTATACGAGGAAAATCTCAACTCAGCAACGGATCTAAATAAAGCGCTAAACAAGCGAAAATAAGACGAAACAGTGCAAAATGACAAATAGCTTAAATAATATACCGTAAGTATTTCTTTTTCTGCTTCACGAAGAAGAATTCTATCCTTGAGTAATAAATTGGCCAATATTTTGTTCAACATTTTGTTATCAGAAACAACACTCTTAAATCGATTAATCGTTCGCAGGATACACAGAAAAATCTACAATCTTCGTATCCAAGCTCTATTCTTCATTTTCGTCGACCATTCCGGTTTATATTCGGCTCAGAGTCACTAACATGGTTCAAAACAAAGTTCTCATTAACGGGATAGACACTCTGCACTCTATTTACCGTATTTGCCGAGCTTTTGAGGCGGGAAGCAAGCGAACGATGAATACTTTAGAGAGTGGCCGCTGGGAAAGAAGCTATCAACTTTTAGAGGAAAGGTTCATCATTCAATCATACAAAACGAAAGAAAATTTAACAGGATTCTATCAAGTTTTAAATGTCACCCAGCTGTTTGTCGGCTCGATTATCATTAAATGTAAATTTGTTGGACAACTATGATCGAGCAGTGACATTTCGTCCCACGATCGAATTCATCATCCATTTGTGCGTTGCTCGTTTTTCCTCGCTTCGATACACCTATACCCTTCCTTCCCCTCCCCCTTCTCTTATTTACGAACGATCGCAGTTTCCTCTAATTCGAACGAAACGAAAGCAAGTTGGCTTGACGTAAGCCGTCTAATAAGAAACACGATGCTGCTACCGATATGATTTCTGTTAAAAATAACCAATACCCAGTAGCTGCGCATCTCTCGAGTATATATATATGTATATATATCTGACAGTGTCATCCCTCTGGTGGGTTTGAAAAATTTCCAGTTTCTCATCATATTTCTCTGAATACGTAATGGATTTGATTATCAAACTTTGAAAAAAGAGATCGAGCGATGAAAAATTAGTATGCTCATAGTTTCGTCTAAAAATATCCTATGTATAATGTCGAATGTTAAATTGCATTGGATACAAAATTTGTACCCGGATATTTTCTTGGATGCGATTTCCTTTTTTCTTTCTCTCTCTTCCTCTCTTACTTTTTCGTATATTGTATACAATATACAATATACGCAACGATACGTGGAATGAAATGTCATTTCGTATCGTTTGTAATTTTGATCGTTTTTCTTTTTTCTTTGCATTAATACGTTTACTCTTTGTCTTTCCTTCATTTCCTTTATTTGCAGTTGTTCAACTCGTTCCTCAAAGAGAGAGAGAGAGAGAGAGAGAGCACAGCGCAACACGGCTAGCTGGCTAAGGGAGATCGATAATAGAATTGCCTATTGCACGCTAGAACTGTCAGAAAGAAATACAATTTAGCGAGGTACACGCTAGTGACCTGTTCGTGCCGTTTCACGAACGAGCGATATTGCTTCTACGTGATCTATCACGATGAAAGCTAATAATTACTCTTTGCCGTATCTGTGCGCCGCTCATTGCATATCAGATAGTACGCGATCGTGCGTGTCTTTTGTGAAATTGAGAGAAGAATCCTTTCGAGATTTTATTTAAAAAAGAAAAAAAAAAGCAAGAAAACCGTTCGTAATACGATGACTTTACAACCTTCTCTTGCATTCCGTTCCCAATTAAATGGGGACTTAAATTTCAAAGATGTATATTCCCATTTTGCATGGATGCAAAATACGTACAGGGATTCGTCGATATTTTAAAAAATAAGAATGCTGTCAAAACGCACGTTATTGTTTCATAACTATGCTCATTTTTACATAAGACTAACAGCTGTATATATTTTTTTTAAGTCATAGAAATTCATGGAATAGAGGCTTAACCCTTTCTCATTTAACGAATTCTTCAAACGAAATTCCAAACGTTTCGAATATCCATAGATTATAACTAAATACGTGTACTTCCTACGTGTAGTTCGATTCCTCGAGCCAGACAATCTCAGGATTAATTCTTTCATTTCGTGCCTATAATATCCACGCTAGCTTTATATATCGGTGAACTTTATTGCTTTCTCCTTGCTCGCGACTTTATTGACGCGCATTTCGCCCGCTCTTACACCGATATTTTTATCAATTTTCGACGGTTACCTCGTTCCTCGACAGAGAAAGAGGGAGAAAGCGAACGAATGCTCGACGCTTCGGTGTCCGATATTCCGCAAGATAAATCGTCCCCTATCGTCCCAACTTTATTGCTTTGCATCGTTGACACGAATCTGTGACGCGATATTGTCGCCACACCGGAACAAAAGGCCGAAACCGTTTTTCCCGACACTCGATTGGTTTCTGTTTCGATCGTTTACCTCGAATCGTGTCCTGCTAACGAGCGCCATCAATTTCGGGTAACAAACAGAGAGCCTTTCCTTGCCTTCCTCGGCTTATACATCTTCCGCAACCAACTTTCGATAACCCGTTTCTTTCGATTCAATTTCAATTTCAAGTAAAAGAATAATGTGAATTTCACGATTCACCATCCGTGAAATCATTTACGAATTTAAGAGGATGGAGTAATAACGAGAATAGAATTAATAAAAATAAATACACTGATTTTATAAACACAGCGAATCTTTTATCTAACGTAGAAAATAGTAGAATTCAAGGAGATTGTACAATGAAATGTTGGAGTAGTAATCTAGCGTTCTAGTCAGACAGTAACGATAGAATATATTTGTCAGACGGACAATTGTCCAAGCGGTTGCTTCGAACACTGTAATCCGTAATCAAACTGGTCCTAATCAATCTATTAACACAGAGGCAACACAATCCCCTAACCCAGTGAACAGAGACCGCTCGCTGTAAACTATCGGCCGGTAAGCATGTTCCAGGCGTTCGTATATATATATATATATATATATATATATATACATATATACATACATATCCTACAAACCATTCGAATCGCGCGAAACTTTATATTTTTACAGCGATCGGTCCTTTAAAATGCGTCGACACCATCATCATGATTTTTTCCAATTTTTTTTCCCGGTATAGGAATCGTCATCGGCGATTGCGAAAGAATCGATAGGAAGAGAAGAGCA